CTACTCCACTGTAGTCCTTGCTGGCCATACAAAGGGATTGATATAACAGGTGTCTGAAAGCTGGAGTCTGGCTAATGAGGAAAGGTTACAGAAGAGAACTGAGGATGAAGAAGATGATTGCAAACTATGAACCAGGTACCCCCTCTCCTGTTCTGGCATTTAGAGGGTGGATGCTTAAAGTAGGTCTGATGATATGAATGATGTGTTAGTAGATGAAAGGAAGGATCCATAGTGTATTCTGTTTAGTGTCACTGGCCAAAGGAACCTGCAGACAGGCTGTGGTAACTCAAACAGGTTGGATGTGAGAAGATACCATCCTGGCAAAGGTGTAGTTGCCTCAGGTAGACTCACTCATCTCATTGAAACCATTTCTGCCCATAAGTAAATGTTCTGTTCTGTGGATTCATCCCTGAATGAATGAAGACACAGCACTGCATGCTATGACTTAAAAAGTGCTAAAAACTGCATGCAGTAGAAGACTAAACATAGCAAGTTGCTTTTCCTTGCACAGTACATAGTAGTCCTGATTCTTAGTTGACTTCTTGATTCCTAACTACACTAAAGCTTCTGAAAACCATCTGAAAAAAGGATCTTCAAGTTATCCTAGAGAGAAGGCTTTAAATGTCTTCCTAGACAGAAGGCTTCCTAGAGAATACAGAAGTTATAAAAGGATTCTGCACTGGATCCTGTCCAAATTCATACTACTGAAGGATGGGTCAATAGTATATATAGAACAGGATGCACTTCACTTGGGTTATTCTCTGCCTTTCTTGGTCTGAGTGTAAATAACAGCAGTCCTGTGGCGATAAGCTGAAGGAAGAATGATCTTCACAATCAGAAATACCAGATTTCAAACAACCATATAGTTAACCATAAACTGAATAGTTATATACACAAATGAGCATATTGCAAAGTGATGACACAAAGACTGTCTAGACTTCCATTTAACCATGTCTCATTGTTCAGTTCATCCAAGAAATGGAACATACAAGTTACAGATGATTTCTATCTACTATTGATGCATTTTTCTGTTCCTGCTTATTGGATTTAAGTAGGTATAAGAACTATTTATTCATCTATTCTGCTATGGCTTTCTTTGAGTTACATTAGAACAGCTTCTAAATCACTCATGGCATATTACTAATGAACAGTAAAAGGGCACTTAGCATTTTATTTTTCTTTCAATGAGACTGCTTGTAATAGACAGCCTCTTGTCTATTGTGTTGTGACTGTCACAGGCCCAGTCCTGTAAGGCGCTGATTCTCAACTAACACCAACTCTGAGGGCATTAAGTCTGAACAATGAGCCCTGAATGAAAAGACAGACCAGTTTGATAAAATACTGATATAAAGTTGAGTCCTGAAAATTCTTATGCAGGTACTAAAGTAGATTGATCATGCTATATTTAGGTTTTTGTCTTGGTGGTCTTTCATTTAAATATTAAACATTGCTGAATCCACTTAGCTTATAAAAGTTGACAGAGTAACAGCTTGAAACACTACAGCTTCAAGGCACCAGTTCTCCCTATCATGAGAATTCGACATCACTGAGGGGTGAAAGGCCTTTTATTTGCATAAGATAATAGTTATGTTTCTATGCAACAGCTGTGCTGTCAGTGAAAGATGTGCTCATTGTGCCAAATCCATCTCTGGAGTAACCCCACTGATTTTAAATGAGTTACTTTGGGAATAAATTGGCCCACTAGATAAAACTGCAGGTCTGAGGCATTGAAATAATTGAGCAAGATTTCCATGATCATAACATGGTAAAAAATTGCAAAACAATTACATGATGTCATGAATTTATGTACCTGACAGATCACAATTGATTTGCCACAAGGTTTTTAAACCATATAGCTAGAGCAACCGTTTATGTAGAGCTTACAGACACTTTTTGGTAATATGGGAACATTAAGACAATACAAGAAACAGGAATATGGTATTGTGTCATTATTATCTACTTAGTGTTAGTGTAAGTCAAACAAATGTGAGATGTCTCTCTAAGTTCAGTTTAATAATAAAGGGTTCATATGGCCGCATGAAAATTCCTCTTCTTTAGACAGTAACAATCAGGATCTCTTTCTGGTAATGAACTACCCGAAGATTTCGGCTCTAGACTATAGCCTTCCTGCATATGTTAGTAGGAATTTAACGCCCTTGGTCTTTCAGTAGCCTGTTTGAGTTTGGTGATCTTAGGTGAGATCTGAGTGGACAGGTGTCTGTGGCACAATACCCACCTTGTCACTTAACTGCTGATAGTTATGGCACAAAGACAAAGTAGTGCTTGGGTTAGGGTGAATGAGCTCCAAATCACAACTGAGTAATATATGTCTATGTGTTAGTTTTTCCCAGCAATGTACAAGGAAAATGCCAGTAAACTGGAAAACTGTTTTGAATGCTGAGAAAAAGTTATATACAGGCATAGATAGATGATATATTTCTGTGTATAAATATATAAGTAGTTCTTTATTGCTACATATTTGATAAGTGATCTTTTGGGGGCTTCAGAAGCCTTCTTTGAAGCCTTTGTGGTTATTAGAATAATGAAAAGATTTCCCAGTCATGATTCAAGTGATCACACAGCATAATTAGAAAAGCCTACCCTCACTTTTGTTTCCATTCAGTTTGCAGAAGTAACGTCAACAGGAATCCCGAAGCCTATTCAGAATGCATCGTGGTTTGCTTGCAAAGGAAATACCTTGTGCTCCTGATGTCATCATTGCAATCATCTCAAATTCAAGTCTGACTGAGCAGGCTCATTATCATTCTCACCGTGTTCTCCCTTACAGCAGCCTCTCCCGCCTCCTCCTGTACAGCACAAAACAAGAGCCACAGGGGTGCTTGGATTAGGGAAAGGAGAGACACCCAGCACCTCCCCCCAAGAAAACTTGCTGCGCTACTTTCATCTAGTTCCTTCAAACTACATGCTGCTTTACAGGACCTCGCACACCACCACCAAATGAAGGTGTGGATTCACAAATACTGATTTCCCCTTCCTCTTTTAGGGTTGAACAAAGACTGGGGAGAAGCATGGATGTGTGCATTTATTTAGCTTCTGAATGCGGATATGAAAAGAGTGTGCCAGCCTCCACAGTAAGAGTTTCCTGAGGGAGAGTCAGACATTTCAGACTGCTTTTTTTTTCACCAGGGCAAATTTCTCCCTTTCCTCTTACAAGGTTAACTAACATTTGAACAACAGATAGAAAGGCAAGAGAGAGAGGGCGGTTGAGCAAAAAGAAGTACGGGGCAAAAAGCAGGGGACAAATTGTCTCAGGCACCAAGTTCAGATCACAACCATGTTTCCTGAAAATTCAGGAGGTCTTGGCTATGGACCTCAGGACTGATTCTGTCTTTGACCCATGGCCCACGTGAATGTGTGGATCTCTCCCCCGAACCATCCCCAGCCAACGATCCCCTTCACACAAGGAGTTGATTCCCACTGTGGAAGGGAGGAGGCAGGACAGGGTTAACCTCGCACAGTCTTCCTTCAGGCCCCCAGAGGGGCTGGGGTTTTGTTTTCCTGGCTAAGGGAGGGGAGCTGGGGCATGTATTGTAACTGGAACTGGAGACCTTTCTGGTGTTACCAGCCCGTTTTGGGTTTGAGGGAAAGCCTGGAGCAGGAGGGAGAGGAGGGAGAATGCAGACTTGGAAAGCAGCCAGCGTCTGGTAATTGCTCAAGGTAAAGCCAAGTGCCCTCCATTTCCCCGCCGCCCCCTGAGAGCTTCGGGGGGCTCCGAGAGGCCTCCAGCCTCCCTCCCAGCCCTCCTGCCCCCTCCCCGCAGCCTGGCCACATCTTTCAGCCCTGCCGTGCCAGCCTTTCCTTTGGCGCCAGGTGTCTGTCCCTGTCCACAGCGCGGAGAGGAGCGGGGACAGAAAGGGGAGCAGGAGTCCCCTGGCTTTCGGGGTGCCCGGTCCTGGTGCCCCAGAGCCTGCGGGGGCTGGGACGATCCCCTGCCCTTCCCCTCCCCCTGCGCTGCAGAGGCTCTGGATGCTGCCGTACTCCTGCCATGTGCTGCCGCCGCCGCTACTGCTGCTCGTAGCTTAGTCGAGCGTCGAGCGTGTCTCCGGCTGCAAACTCCGCCAAACAAGCCTGCATCCTCCTCCAGGAAGGATACCCAGTAAGTACCAGCCGGGGCCTGCCCCCTCCCTGGGGCACCCCGCCACCGCCTCTTACAAAGGGACTCGCAGCCTCTTCCCCTCGCTTCCTCTCCCCACCCCCTTTTTAAGCCAGTGCTGAGAGGGGCTCCGTGAATTCCCTCCAAAGCTATAGGGTGGCTCCCTCCTCCTCCTCCTCCGCCTCCTCCTTCTCTTCCTGCTCCGGCTCTCCTCGGCGAGCCGGGCTGCTGCTGCATTCAGCCGGGGTGGTCCCCAGCCTCGCCCCAGCCATGCCGCTGCGGCTCGCCCCCCAAGGCTGACTTTTGTTACCCCTCTAGTGCCCGGGGCTGGACTGAGGTGGGCTCATTTTTGGGGGTGGCTGAGGCTAGAGAGTGTGTGTGCGTGTGGGAGGTGTCCCTGGGGGTGGGGGGGGCTGGCTG